TCCACATAAAATTACCACATCGAAATTATGGCTGCTTTCACTAACATCGGTAGCGTGTGGGATACCCAAACCAGTTGTCTGAACGGTCCTGGCTTTTTTAATACATAAAAGTACATATGATTTGTTTTAATCTGTTCTTCATCTGCTTTTCATGTGTGTTTGCTAAGAATGAGAATAGTGATCGTAAACGATTGGTCACTTCCAGCTTTAGTAGTAACTGGGAGCTCAACGTAAAAAGTTGTAGTAGTATTTCGGTCAAACTGTAAAAGTTGTCGTCACGATAGTGCCACTAATATTGGAAGCCTACAGCGAATGTCCAGCGGTTTTGGTATTCTCAATAGTTTTATTGATCTACCGTTGCTGACTTTTATGGGAAGAACTCAACTAGCTTCTCTAACTTTATCTACTATTGTAACATGCCTGAAGGTTTTTTTATTCTGAGAGCAAGGACGACTCTCTTTCGTTCTAGAGCGGGGTGGGTCAAAACATTGGTTGACCGCAGCGCAGAACCTTTGTGTTTGGATAACTGCATTTACATCTTGTGATGGTTGCGTTAGTGATCTGGAGTCTTTACGGTTGTAAAGGTTTAGCTTTAACTTCTGCCTTCGCCTCCTTTTGCGTCTGTTCGGGTTTTTGCTTTTTTAGTCATGGTTTATTTTGGATGGAAATAATTGATTTTAATTTATTTCTTATATAAACTGTAAAGACTGTAAATAATAATTTGTTGTTAAAGTCGGTACAAATGCTGATAGTGCCTTCTGGCTGGTAAGTATCTCACCGCAGCTGAGAATGCAGCGTTCGTAATGAGATGGTGTTGCTGAACACAGTCAATGACATCTCGAAACGGTCAAACCTTGCTAATGTTTTTCTGTCAGGAGCTCGTGAATCCTTCTGGTTGTAAGCATATCAACTATCTGGTGATGCTGCAATTGAACAAAGCAGCTGGGGGAGTTGTCAGCGTCGTAGTTAGGGAAAAAACTGTAAATTTTTAGCTAATTAAAATGTCGAAATATTCCTTCACACACTTTTCTTAGCAGCAATTGTCGTAAAAAACTACTGCATAATTTTTTTCTCAGCAAAAATAAAGTAATGTGATTTAGCCAGCACACTAATTTGAGATTCTTTATCAGTGAGGCATAACACATCGGCATCGAAGATGATGGAACCATAAAAGCTCTACAAAAATTCCTTTTGCGTTGTATCCTCTAATTGAGAGTAGAGCGGACGGATAGGAGGTTGTAGAAGTACTTATGGATGAGCATACGTTATCCCAGGTGTTTGAGAACTGGTACAGATAAATAAAATGAACCAGGCGAGCTGCGTTTTTTTGCGTTTTGTGCCAGAGCAGTTGCACAAAACGCACATTGTCACGCTTTGTGTGTATGTATGTGTTCGGTGTGTTTTTTGGAAGCCAAAACTTTGTTGCAATATTCCTTTTGCACGTGCGACCCTGCAATTTTAAATTCAGCTCTCATGAACGGACCCGCGAAATTTTCGGCGGGGAAAATCATTATCTCGGGAAGTAAAAAAAACCAGGAAGCTGAAATCCCGAGATAATGCCTCTTCTCACGTATGATTTCGCAAATTCAAATTTTGTTTTTACGCACACCCAAGTTTCGCGTATGGTCACATGAGTGTCTTGACAGGAGAATTTACTAATTCGGGAATCAGAAAAGGTAGGAGGCTGCGATATGAACAGGC